ACAACATGATCTACTCGACCACCACTATGGTTACCGCCAAAAAAAAAGAGGAAAAAAAAAAAAAACGGTAACCTGGTTGCCGAGTTCACGAAGTAATTGGCTTGTTTTACAACGCCGTTGGCAAGCGACGAAAACCCAATCCCGATGGCAAACACCGAGGGGGCGGCTTGTTTTACAACGTCGTTGCCAAGCGACGAAAACCCAACCCCGATGGCAAACACCGGGGGGGGGGGAAGGGGGGGGCAGTTTCTGCCGCCCTTGCCCGACCAAAAAAACGAGGAAACACCCACAACCCACAACAGTAAGTTCCGCAGAGATAGGTGCAGTACCTCCGATACCGCCCAGGACACAACGTAAGGATGGGGTACAGTACTTCCAACACCGTCAAGGAATAGTCGCTCAGGACACATCGTAAGAAGAGTTACAATACCTCCAACACCGTCAAGGACTAGTAGCTCAGGACACAATGGTGCGGTGACAGCGGCGTGCGAATGGATACCGATATTTTTTCCATACTGTATGCATACATCTTTCCTTTTTGCTAAAGGTGTCGTCCCCGTTCTCTTCGAGTCAAAAGGGGAGCGGACGAACATTTTCAAGCAGCTTGGCTTACCCTGAGGAGAGGTAGCTCCTTCATGAACTCTTGTCGGATGAACGCGATGTCGGTCGAGCGGCTGGATTCGAAGGATGTCGATCTTCGACTCAGAGAATTGGACCTGACGAGACACCGAAAGAAACCGACACCAGGTGCGGCATCAAGACCATCATAGACAGGAAGGCCGCCACCGACACCACAAGGTTTGGAGGGAGCACACCCGGTGCCGCAACATACGCACTGACAGTTTCAAGTCATATGGGACGATGAGCAGCAGGACGGCGGCACCTTGGGCCGGAGCTTGAGAGCACCTCCGGATTGAGGTCTGAACTACGTCCACGACGTCATCGCGTGTCGTACCAAAGCGACACTGGGGCCCCCCCGCCGCATCACGGCCACATCTTGCCGTCGTGCCGACGAACACACTTCCAACCACGCTATGTCACGCCGCACAAGCCTCTAAGCCTCATGAAAAACCACATCAAGATGGGGAATAGCCAATCTGGACAGATACACCATCAATTCCCCTTCGTTGGTCCTTCCGATGAACACACACGGAAAACTTAGACCAAAGCAAGCATACCGTCAGCACCACCCGGCACGTTCGTTTCTCTTTTCACAGCAGCAAACCAAAACTTAGGGTTAGGACAAATCATGTCTCGGTTTTACGTGTTTTTGCCACCGGTATCATGCCACCGAAGACTTTTCACCAGCCGGCTAGCGCCGTAGACGAAGGAACAACAACGCCACGCGCACAAGCAGCACAAACGCTGGCGACAAAAAACAACTCACGGGCGTCTCGGCAACTCCGGGTCGGCTACCGGAGTGTCCTCCACACCGTTGATGAGCGTCGGCGTGCTGCAAACAGCGAGAGACCGTGAGAAGTCGGGGATAGGGGGGGGGATGTGTGAAGGTTGATATGAATACCAGGAGATGACCATATACGAAAGAAGGCACCAAGGAATCGAGGGGAGATGGCGCAAGATACCAAGGCGGGGAAAGTGTTGAGTCCAAACTATAACGGCGGTGTGCGCGTGTGTGTGTGTGTGTGTGTGTGTGTGTGTGGAAGGGGTTTCACGTTGTCTCAGGCGACGGACGTCCGTCACCCAAGCAGCACGCGAGGTGAAACACCCGCCAAGGGGTGCCGAAAAGAAGGCAAAACAAGAGCAATTATCAGGCATTGTGACCACGACAACACAAAGGGGACAGGCTACAAAAGGCCATGTGGTCATGTGCGAACAGACAAGACAACAAAGTCAAAAGGCAGTGTACGAATAAATTATAAGTACACACGAGGGGACAAGGCCCATCGGGTGGCAAAATTCACATAAGCGGTACATCATAGTGCAGAAAGGACTGTGGGAGACGCAACTTTGGCGAAGGGGAGACGCGGAAGTAGTTGGGAACACAATGGCTTGCACCAAGTGCAGTACCCCTCGTGGACTTTCGCTTTCGATGGTGATCGTGCTGAAGACCATCAGCGCCAATTAATGCCTTCCCCCCCCCTCGGTGTTTGCCATCGGGGTTGGGTTTTCGTCGCTTGGCAACGACGTTGTAAAACAAGCCAATTCACTTCGTGAGCTCGGCAACCGGGTTACCGTTTTTTTTTTACCTCCGTTTCTTTTGGGGGGGCGGTAACCATAGTGGTGGTCGAGTGGATCATGTTGTGCGGGGTCGAGAGCCTGCACTCCGCGCAAGGGGGGTGATCGCACCACGTTGTGTTAAAATGGTCAAGCACCCTCGAGGCAGTTACACAGTGCTTACAACTGTCTCTGGAAGTGAGAGCACCAGAAAATAAATCAAGTCATACGCAGCTGTCATCCGTACTCAAGGAAGTAAGCACAAGAAGCCGAAAACCATAGCAGGATGCCGCGCAGCCTTCATTGTTGTTGTTGTTGTTGTTGTTGTTGTTGTTATTGTTGTTACCTTCACATTAAAAGCCGTTCCGATCTCTCTCTACCCAGTACCTTCGCATGTCGGTACTGATACAACACTCGACGCGGTCGATTCCCGTGGTCGCAG